ATAGTATTAGTAGCATCTACATTGCACCCGTGGCAAGCCGGGGCGGATCGCTAGTAATTATACCGCTTCGTTCCTGCCGGCCGTTGCCACCCGGGACGGGTGTATGGCCCGACGGCGAACGCGGCGACGGCTACTTTGCCCCCGCATTTTAAACCTCTTATATCTTCTAAAATATTTATTTTAATGATATGCTGTATAGAACAATTTTAATCTACATTAAATGCACATCTATCTAACGTATTTAATTGGATAAGGAATAATAATGTATTCTTTAAAAAAACCTACGTAAATAAGCCATTAAAAAAAATAATTAAAATATGAAAATGGTTATTACATATATCATACAATATATAATGTATAATGTAATATATAATGTATTATACATTTGTACATAAATCCGTGTGGTGACGGATTCAGAATACGGAATGTCACCACCCCTATTGCATCCCGTGGGTGTCGTATGAGCTAACTAAGGGAACAAACTATGCAGGTAAACAACATTGCCAGGAGAAGGAAAACTTGACACAAACCCTCTACCAACCCGTCTGATCCTGGTTCTTAGGAGAGGCCTATGTTCAGCAGTGGATTATTAAAGGCTTTTGAGGATGATGATTACACATATAAACCTTTCCCTTGAATCACTCTGTCTATTGGTGAAAACCGTATTAAAATCCGTTGCTTAGTATAATAGATCTAAGCGTGCGTACTATAGCAAAAAAGTGTCGATAAAAAGTCTTGATACACTTTTTTCGGTCTAGCTCCCATCCGCTCAGAGCGTGTAAGGTACGGTAAAGAACTTCGTTCCAATAAGTTACTTGTAGCACACCAGCCGTTTTCTAGAAAAAGATGCATGATTACCTTATGCAAGTGGGAACCGAGATCCGCTACTACAAGACTAGTTTTTGTTGTTGTTAGGTATATACTCGTAATGTAGGTAATTCGTGTTGTTTAGTGTGCGAGGTACATTATAATGAGTCATAGGTGTTTATTATTTTATCTAATTGTCATCACGACACGAGCAGAATAATATAAAACTGACTAATTCTAACTATTTTAATAACACTGCATATTTACTATAGAAAAAATTACATATTTTTGTGTCTATTTTGTACAAAACTATGAGGAGTAATTAAAGTATGTATGCTTTGTTTAGAGATATTTTAATTAAACAGAAAGAATTCAAGATAATTCAAACTTCTCATATGACAGTTTAACCCTATCTAGCTAGTAGGTATTGTTTCTGGTTGCTGTTTAATGGTTTTGCTTTTAATTCTGTTGCGTTTCAAAACTCAAAATATTTGTTTATCATACAATTATATTACCTACATATTTTTATTTTCGCATAACGCAAGTATGATATTATTTAAAGTTCCGTTTTGAACCAATCTCATAAATGATAAATATTATTTGTTTCTGTAAGTTAATGTTTTCAGATATTTTTACAAGTCGGACTTTACAGCTGGGAGGCGCCGGCATTTCCTAAGACTCACTCTGGGAAGAAATGCCGAAACAAACCACAGAGGTGTATTTTTTTTAAGTGCGGGTACAATGTTAAAGAGAACTATATAAGAGCAGTATAGGGTCTGGGTTTGAAGAAAGGAACATATTTTAGAGTCCCAGCACTTAGGCACAGCATTCCCGATAATGTAATCGTGTGTATTAGATCGTTTAATAGCTTGCGATAGTATGGACTTAAACACCGCTGAACGTTCTCGTTTTCCAAATAAAGTAATGACTCAACAAATTATTAGCGAAGTCTCGAAAAATCGTGTAACAAAATCGGAAGGTTCCAAATTCCAAATCGCAGCAACAGAGGCTTATTTTGAAAGCAAAGATAAATCGTTCGACACACATGAAAGAGATACGTAAGAAAGCGTTGGAGCGACTATACCGCATACCGCAGTTGAAGGAGTCCACGCTGTTATTATTATAAAGAATAATTTTATCCAAAAACAGTATTTAGTCTCGGGACTATTTTTCGCCCGTAATCTCAGCATCCTGTAATTTACGAGAGACGAGGATGTATATGGTTGTAATACAAAATAGCTTTGTACTGTCACAATTTTTTTAAATCGTAAATATAGTTCTGTCTGCACCATACAGAAAAAGATTTTTTTTCTGTTTGGGTGACGTTATGTTCAGATTCGTTTTTTCATGTTGATATTCCCAACAAAAATAATTTTGAATGAATTAAGTAACTTAATATTCGTTTTAATAATTCATGAAACTGGGAGCTAAGAGTTTATTAACACTAGGTATATGTGAAACTATGCATAGCACAGATATAAAATATAAAAAAAACAGCAGTAAAAAATAAGTACTTATTTTGAAGAAAAAACCAAACACGCGGTTGTCGACCACAACGATGCTACAGAAGAGAATTAATCACAAATAATGATTGTTAAAAACAGATAAAAAATGGGTCCACACAAATAATCTCTTTGCCAGGCAAGTATTAAGAGCTATTTTTAATAAAGCTTTATGCACTTTTGTACATCGGCGGACATAATACCCTGTAATTTCTCTTACAGTCAACCTTTGGGTGGTAGTAGGCCAAAACCTCCGCTTTAAGGAGAGGCCTATGTCCAGTAGTGGACTATTAAAGGCTGTTGATGATGATGATCATGATTTGGGTGGTATAGAAAATCTTGTAAATCTTGTAATGCTTTTCTTTTTTTATGATATAGGGGGCAAACGAGCACCCGTTATGGATGATCGGTTCGAGAGGCATCACGGAACCCTGTCATACCGGATTACCGGGAAAGGATGCCTGGAAGATAAACTGTGTCTGATCAACGCCTGAGTGCCACCTCTGCGATAGTTATACCGTGGATATGGCGCTCCACACGCTGCTCTCCACACACTGCTCCAGGACGTAACCTCGTGGCGGCCATCGTAGTGGGAATTCTCTCGCTCGGTAGCGCGTTTGTCGCCATGATACGGAGCGAGAGTGCGTGGAACTTAGTTGCCGAAGGAGACGCTGCGATCACGTTATGCTTGCGAAGGAGAAGGCGGAGCAGGACTGGGAGAGGTTTAGAACTCCCCCGGACCGCCAGGCCTGGGGATGACAGGTTAGGATATCTTTCACCCCACCAGAAGCTGTAGCAGAAGGGTGGGTGGGTGACGTTGCGACGCGCTATTTACCGCAAACGCCCTTCGGGGGCAGGAAGGGAACGTCGGGGTTCCCACACAGGGGGGGGTCGTCTATAAGCCGTTGATGGTTCGAGGTACATCATTCAATTTGGCTTTCCTTTCTAGGGTTTACCTGTTTCTCTGGCTACTGGTACCCGACATAAGCACCCCACTGGTATCCGAGACGAGTTCCGTACGGAAAATAAAGGTGCAAACGACCAAAATCAAATTCAAAATATCTTTATATCATAAAAAAAAAATTGTTAGAAATCGTCTCTTATGTAGACTCTAAAGTCATAGATCAACATGCACAATAGCAACACTCTGTTTTGTCAAATATTCAGAAAATAAATATAAACCTACGTATCGATTTAAACGGAGTGGTTTAAACGGTTGCCACGCCCTTTCCTACTACGTTGAGTGTTGTGGGTTCGATCCCACATAGGACGACACTTTGTGTGATCTACAAATTGTTGTTCTGAGTCTGGTTGTTCTTTGTCTCCATTTCATGTATGTTTAAGTGTGTAAAGTCCCCGGCGACGCAAGGTATATTCCTGATGCGGGAGTTGTCTTAAAAAAGCCCTCACTCGGTGAAAAGTAACGAATTTAACACCGGTTTTCTGTAAGGCTATGGTATCACTCCGGTCGAGCCTGTACATTTGTGCCGAAGCATCGCTCCCACGCGCTTTCTTAACACTGGTGATACTTCGATGTTTCGAATCTACAAGAGAAAATTCGTTGGCGATAAAACCCTCCTCAAGTTTTTCGTGTATTTTTGCAAAGATCTCCCTTAATTACTATTGAACAAACGCATTCTTCCAACTACTTCATTAGCAAATATAAGAGATAAATAAATAGTTTCATTATTATATCAAAATTAGTAGTTCTAAAGAAGTTCCTTTCATACTTAACAAAATATACTAGGGAATGACTTTTGGAAATAAATATTTTAAAGATCATTATTCAAAGTGAAACTCTATGATTAGAGATTAGAGTAGGTATTCATAAATCAATGGAATTTTACTGTCATTAGAATTAATTTATCTGAGTTTTACTCATACGCAACCATTTTCTATGTAAATTGTAAATTCTAAGTTGTTTATATTATAATTGGTCTGACGTGTATAATTTGTGCTCATCTTTGCTTATTGTGATTGTAGATCGTAAACCGGTTAGACTAGAACTGAAATGTTATAATTTCTTAGATTCATATTAGAAGATCCGATTTTTAATATTGTATTTAAAATAATAATAAGGAACCTTACACATCACACACGGCCGTCTGATCCCAAACTAAACCAAAACCTTCTTTTCTAAGAAGAGTCCTGTGTCCAATAGTGGACTATTAAAGGCTGTTGATGATGGTGATGGTATATACATTTACTAATATATTACTGTATGGTATAACCAGAATGGAATAAACAGAAAACTGTAGTTGTAAGTACTTACCTAACATGGAACTAGTTCTGCACAACTTACTTAATTGTTTTGAAATACTTAAGCACATTCGATAATATTTATATATGTACTTAAGTAAATATATGAGTCAGTATACATATTTACTATTAATTTTATTTGTCATTCTTTCTATACATCACCCAGTGGTAGAGAACACCTTAGGCATTAGGTCCGTATTATAAATGTGTGCATAAAGTTTAAAAAAAGAAGTAAAAGTAGCAACACACACAAGCAACCGACATCATCAAAATTTTACAATGAAGACATAAGAAGCTAGTAAAAGACATCGTGTCGTCGCCTTGTCGTAAATAGTAAAGCATCCTTTGTTTTTATGTGTTACAAGGTACAAGCTCAAAGCTTGAACTTGCGGTACTATCTCTCAGTCTTGCGAAGTCGATCCATCGAGCAACATGAAGATATTGTTGGCAGTTGTCGCTATATTCGCCGTTTTCTCGGTAAGATATTATTTATTTAACTATCAATTAAAATCGAAGCTACATCTTGGATATGAGGCTGTTTTGCAATAAGGCTCTCTTTATACGTTATTTGATTGTTATATGTATAATATATGATACCTACTTTACCCGTAGACAAATAAAGTTGTATCTTTTTAAGAATTATTAAGGTGGTTTAAAAATAAGATAATATTCAGAATATGGTTAAAAACATTTTTATTGTGAGTTAAACATGGGACAAGGGCAGATGATGCTGAATATATTATTAAAAGCAATATATGTTTTTTTTTGGAACGAAGTTTCTTATTGCACTTTACACGCTCCTAGCGGATGAGTGCGAGACTGAAAAATGTGTAACAAGACTTTTTTCCGACACTGTAACAAAGGTCTACCAAAACGCGAAAGGAACTTCGTTCCATAGACCCCTCACGCTGTTCATTATATTTAATTATTATATTACACATATGCACACATTAACTCACGTCTTCAACCCCGAAGGGGTAGACAGAGGAATATAAAACGCCCACATTTTGACATCTATAACAATTTTAGTCATACCTATGTAACAGTTGTCAAGCCTCCTGCCTTCAACCTGGCACATATTGTCCGAGTGGTGACGGATTAAGAATACAGAGTGTCACCCCTATTCTGCCCGTGGGTATTGTAAGAGCCGACTACGGGATCAAATTACGCAGGACAACAGTATTGCAAAGAGAAGGCAAACTTGAAACAAATCCTATACCAACCTGTCTAGCCAGCGTGGTATAGTAGGCTAAAACCTATTTTCTAAGGATAGGCCTATGTCCAATAGTGGATATTAAAGGCTGTTTATCATGATGATGTATATCATCATATAATATATAATAATACATGTTTTAGATAAATTACACTCAGACACACAAATGATCTGGTTCATTACACAATATTAGCCCTGAGTGGGAATCAAACACACGACCTTTGGCTAAGCAGTCAGCATAGCTGACCACTAGACCAACAGGTCAGTCAGGGCTTAAAAATGTCTCGATTTTATTATATATAGCTGGCACATTTATCAATATTGCGGCTCGATTTAGTTTTTATGTTGTACTTGTTTGCTTAGAATTTTTCAAAGATGAATAAAATAAAATTTGGTATATTAATTTCGTTGAATGTTTAGATTTAATAATATATAATATTTTTTCGGACATCTGATACACAACGCCAACTAGTCTCAAACTAAGCAGACTACTTGTAATATGAAATCTAGATTGACTGATATAATAGATAAACCACTATATCAGTAAACACCTCGTGGCCACATTTTACTATTAAAGTATTGTTTCATTTCTGTTGTTGATTTTATAGTTGTTTGTGTAGTTGTTGTGTTCATAGTTTCTGGGTCAGCAATCTAGAGAAATATCCACCATCTTTGTATAAACTCATCATCAATATTAACAGCCTTTACTAGTCCACTGCTGGACATAGGCTTTTTCCGTAAAAAGAGGTTTAATCATACCTCCTTTTCTCTATAAAATAACATTATAATATTTTTTACTTCCCTTTTAGACGATATCTGCTTTGCAAGGAAAAGCCCCGACGAAGCAGCTCAACGATGGCAACCATATTCCAACACTAGGCTTGGGTACCTTTGGTTTTGTAAGTATCACAAAATATTATAAAAAAGAATATTTACCTTATCTGTCCATGTGACTGGTTAAAGCTAGCCACATGTCAAACTCCTAAATAAATTTAAATGTTGAACGAAAAGCTGTATAGCATCAACCTTATTCCTGCCTAATGATCGCACATGCATTCTCGGGTGTGCCGAATCACACACGAAATCACTAATCATTTAAATTACACATTATTTCATGTTATTCTTCATTTATTGCCCATCATAACAAAATATTAGCGTGGTTAGAAGTAGAACTAATTTGGCTTAAGGTTGTTCAATAACTATTACTGGGTCTGCATGTAAAAATTAAACAAACACAAAATATAAGATAATTTTATATACTGTCTTGTAGACAACTGCAATCACTCTTAGCTACAATTAGAGTCTATGTATAGAAATCCAGTTATATAGTTAATCAATCAGAAAAAACTAGAGCGGGACTAAAATTACATGCAAAGTCCAAAAAGTGCTAATGAAAACTTACGATAGGATCTCTCAAATTATGGGATAACATAAGTTTTTAAATACTGTTTAACATAAGACTGTTTAACATAAGTTTTTAAATACTTAACTTGGTTTTCACAGTTTATTAGCTTTTTCTAATGGAGTCGACATCCAGCCAATAAACATTTTTATCCATTTACAAAACATTTTCTACATAAGCGAATATGGATTACCTATTGTTAAATTTGTTCATTCGTAATTGGCCATGCTTCACAAGGTCTTGGAATTGTATGTTCCTTTATGACTCCATCACGACGTCGTTAACGAACTTCCAATCTGAACTATTAAATTTTTTTTTCCAATGGGAACTAAACGTAAGATGGTGGAACCTGTTACGTTTTATTGCACGTGTAATATAGGAAAATCGGTGATTAAACTTAATCAACCAACAAATTTTATAAAAATATATGTTGTCAGACTGACTAGATATGAGGAAAATATTTAGTTTGATGTATTTGATTTGATTTCGATTGACGGAATGGTAAAAGAGTTGCTCATTTCCTTAAGATAATCTACGACAATGAAAATATGGTAATACAGGAAGAGTTAGATTACTTAGTCAATATATAATTTCAGCAAGACATTCCTAAAATTCGCAAAGCAATATGGGATGCCGTCGAAGTTGGGTACAGACACATCGATACAGCAGCACTGTATGGTAATGAGGAAGAAATCGGCAAGGGCATCGCAGATGTCATTAAGCAAGGATTAGTGAAGAGAGAGGATCTCTTTATAACCACAAAGGTGAGGTTATTTTTATAGGCACTTTATTAGCACATGAAATCAGTAAATTTGAGGTTATTTAATTAACGACAAATTAACGATATTGTGGAAATGTAACTGTAAATCTTTTAAACGGTTGATTTGAGCCATTCAGACACTTTTTAGGAATAATGCACTTATAATTTAAATCTTTTGTGTTTTCTATGGTATTAAACATTATGTTTTAATTTTTAAAATCTAATTGGAGACATTATAATATGAATCCAGAGTGTTCCAAGGCCGCTCGTTAATTGTATTCATCAATCAGTAAATATGAACAAAATGTTCTGCAAGTATTAAAACAATTTGTTATGCTAGTTGACTGATTCTTTTTATTCTTTTAGCTGTGGAATGACAAACATGCCCGGAATCAGGTAGTGCCAGCTCTCCGCGAATCTCTCAGGAAATTGGGACTGGAATATGTAGACTTATACCTTATCCATAGTCCTGAAGCAACTGATGTAAGTTTTAAGTAACTATCATAGAAATATAATAAGAAAACTTAATACACACATGTTCAGTGGGACAGAACTATAATTTTAGTACCTTGTAAAAAGCTGGGCTGAAATTATGTCAAAACTGTATGTCAAACTTAGCCATCCTTCAAGTTGTCTATCCTTATTTGAAAGTCGAAGTATTTTCCATTATTATTTGAAACACCGTTCTGTGTAGTTTCTATCGTTATTTGAAATAATGCATCGTTATTTTTAACCGTAGCGCGATGTTAGATAGCCAACATTTTGCCAGAAAAAAATACTGTGACCAGTTTAAATAATTGTATTCAAATCTGATTGATGGTTTAAGAGTTTAACGCGTTTTAAACACAAAAAATAAATATTAATATTAGTATAGATTGGATGCCACGTAATTACAAGTAAACTTGTCCATAGTATACTGCCAAATCTATATTCTCATATTTCTCTGATTGGAGTTGATGAAATTGAAAACTTTTCGCGTACTCCTTTCAATACCTCTTGGGTTTGAGAAATAGCAGTCTAATCATCAATAATAAAATCTTCTTTATTCTTCTGCGTATTTGCCATTGTTTTCAGACTGTGCTACAGTAAATGTAATCAGTTCCTGATTGTTATCAGGACCTTGATGAGGAAACTTATGATAGATATTATTATTGTTGTTTTTTTTTTCTTGAAAGATACAAGAGACGGCTGGGTCATTTTGTTTTAAAATTTTCCTGCTAGCGTCATAATTAAGGAAATCCCAGTTATTTTTAAACAAAGTATTAATGCCACTTTTGTGAAAATACTTTGTTTAGATGCACCTCACGTTTATGCATTGTCCATTCGATGATAAGTTTTACAACGTCCTTCTTATAGCCCAATTTACATTTTTTTTGCATGTCTAGTTTAGATCTATTTACTGTATCTATAGAATCCTGCCATTTATTTGGTTGTTTGCTGTGACTCCTGTATTTCGTGTGGACACTCAGCTTTACACTCCCACATAAAGATGTCAACGAATAGAAGTATTTTTGTGTACTTGTCTCGAATCTTTGCAAAGGAATCAATGACATAAGACGTTATTATTACGGGACTATCGGAAAAACAAATATCAGAATTTAATTAGACGAGATTGTTTTTTGACGCGTACTTCCAGCATATTATTATCATCTGTAAATTGTGCTCTGGGATTTTCTATAAGATGAAAGAGTTCTTTCAAAATAAAATCAGCCCTTTAAACTCAAGAATTGTTCCGAAAATTCAAAAAAATGTGGACGCCTACAACACTTTATTTGCAAAATATGTATTAAAAAATCTGGGTCTGGTCAGTTTTTATAGAAAGAATATAGTTTCTTTAAAAAAATAGTGTCTGGATTTAAAAGACCTAAAAAACAACCATCTAGTAAAATACAGTATTTCTGTCTATTATACCTCATAGAGATTAAAGGTGGTAATCATTTTTTTTTACCTACTTTTTGAGAAAACGTACCAAGTACATTTACAATTGTTTGGTTCAGAGACATCAAGCGAAGCGGAGAACACATCAATTATTAAATATTTAATTACTGTAATACTGTTGCAGGCGCAAGGTAATACCCTGGACATCGACTTCGTGGAAACTTGGCAAGGTATGGAGGAAGCTAAAACACTAGGTTTGACGAGGTCCATCGGAGTATCCAATTTTGAAACGGAACAGATCGACAAGATTGTAAAGAACAGTAACATTGTGCCGGCGGTAAACCAGATTGAAGTAAGTTTTTATAACTTCTTACATAACGCTTTCACTGCACATGTTAAAACGTGTTTTAAAAGGTAAATTGTGAATATTTCATATTGAGATCCCAATATAAACGGCACTAAAGGAATGTCATAGATATAGCAGTCTTTAAAGTGACAGAATATCCTATTAATGAACTATCGTATATTTACCTGTATGTTCGAAGCTTTTAGTATGTTGACAAATTATTGCCTTTATTTTCATTAAAATGCGTTTCGCAGATCGGTTAAATTTACCGTAGGTGAGGGCTAATGACCTCCTCGGCCGTGCGTGTACGTGCTCTGTTTGATAATTAAAATAAATATTTAATTAATTTGAAATGGAATAAAATAAATATAATAGCTATAGGGTGTAAATCTGGTAAAGAGCTAAATGAAATGTTAATGAAAAAATATTTTATTTTAATGCAAGGAAGAAATAGCGAAAGTTGAAATAGATACCTAACGATAGTTAAGCAATGCAAGGAACTACTCGATGTCACGGAGGGGTACAGATCTTTAAAGTTTTCTTAGTAAAAGCATGTAAACTTCAAATAAAATGATGGTAACATATCATTAATAATAAGTGAATGAATTACTATAGCAAATAAAATAACCTTTGCATTCTACGTTAAACAACACATTTATAAGAAAATCGTTTTGTTTTACTTTATATAGTATTTTAAAAATCAACAATATTTACAAAAGTTTAAATGGTGCAGGTGCTCAATTAAAATATAAATAATAATGGCAGTCATGATGATACCGGTCTATTGATTAACGTCCTCAAGATTTAAAACTTAGTATTTGTTGATTAATGACCTCACAGTAAATACCCAGTTCTATAATTAATAACATTTTGGGTATTTCCTTATGATACATCACTATTGTAAATTGAGTTCAGAAGATTGAAAAAAAAACGTGTCTGGGCAGATACTCAAAATCTCATATCATCTTGCTAGTGTTATAGTTATTAATTAATTTATTTGCATATTAATGGTATTATAACCGCGTAATTGAAAATACTGATTGACCATTAAGATTTTGTTATGGTTATTTTTTGTCTTCATACTAATAAAGTTCTACTTCTGGTTTAAAAAACCTAAACATTAAAAAAAACATCTTTTAAGAATCGTTTTTTTGTGTGACAGGTACGGGCTTAACATTATAACAATGGAAAAACTTTTAACCTAGATGATAATACTATGCTATCAATTTTGGCAAACGCCATCAGGACCCGAATAATTTATACAGCGGTTATTTATTAACTTCAAGCTCGGGTTCTGTTCGTTCCGTCTTGGTATTCCGGTTTGGTATCTGCTGCGAGTTAACATAACAATATGACCGGATAGAATGCTGTACCAAAACGTGTCTGCTGCTAACAATCGAATGATGGTTTCTTTATACATTAATTAAAATAAAATTTTCATTGAAGACAAACAAAATTATGAACCGACACAACCTTTAAACTTCACAAATAGAGCGCACTCAAACCTAAAAGAACGGCAACTGACTTTTGGGTATTCAGGTGTTCACTGAACCTACTCCACAAAATCTAACAAATTATTTTTAATACTTCCAAAATATACGTACAATCAAGATCTCGTGTAAAGAGCGTCTCTATCAAACATACTTAACCCGTTGACCGCCAAGGACGCATTAAAGCGTCATTCAATAACTTAATCGAGACACTAATGACGTCTTAAAGCGTCCAACGCACTGCATTTTTTACAGATGAATAAATCTAGGCTAATGTTGATTTTCAGAATCAGGATTATTTATAAGAGTTATTTTGATTTCGACTACCATAATTATGCATTTAAGCACTGAGATAGAGTCTGATTGGGCACGTTATAATTACAACTTAATTGATCAAAAAACTAACTTCTTTTTTTCTGTGCGGAAATCCCCTCGGATACCACCCACCGGGGTTTATGTCGGAATCGAACCCCCCTCCTGTGTGGGAACCCCTATGTCCCAATTGTGCCTCCCTGGCCTGCTTCTGCTAGGGTGACAGATGGCCTCACCTACCACCCCCAGACTGCGCTTATGGAGGACATTCTGCGACCTCCGGTGCCTGAGTCGTCTGCGGTACCTTCCCCGTTGCCGGGCCTGGCGCATCGGGAGAGTTCTAAACCTCTCCCGATTCTGCTCCGCTATCTTCTTTGCAAGCATAACTTGCTTGCTTACCATGGCGGCAAACATGTTCGCTCCAAATGCTGGCAGAATTCCCACTCCGATGGCCGCCACAAGGCAACGCCTCTGCTCAACCCACGCCGGGCATTCTGCCAGCATGTGGAGCGCCGTGTCCACGGTCCGACCATTGCAGTGGTGGCACTCAAGCGTTGCCCCCTTGCGGATCAGACACAGGTGATCTCCGAAGCATCCTTTCCTGGTGATCACCTGCGTCAACTTGTATGAGAGGGTTCCGTGATGCCTCTCGACCCAATCCTCCATAACGGGTCTTCCCGCTGCGATAACGGCGTGCCAATAAAGTTACACCTTGAGCGCTTTGATGGCTTACAGCGTCATCTAATGCTGTGACTACCTGATTTTATTAATTATTTGCCAGTCATGGGTAGTCACAGGACTACCCATGACTGGAAAATAATTAATAAAATAAGTATATATAATCGAGCCATAAATTATTATATCTGCAGTAAGTGTTTTGCCTGAAGACAATTTTGCGTTACGTTCTTTATTGAAAAAAACACTACACTAACATTTATAATAATTTTGTTGAATTAAAAATATCGATAACAATTAATAAAATCTATCAACAATACTGTCTCTTTCACGTTTTTATCACAAAATTGCCCCTCTTCTACCCCACTGACGCCTTAAAGCGTCGAATAGTTACGAGAAAATATGGTAATGAGTTAATTGTTTATTATTACAAAATGAATATTTATAGAGGCATATATAATTAATTGTGAGTAAAGTGGATGTGGTCACAAAAAGATTACGCTGCTATTAAAAAAAAATATTACAAAATCTGTTCTTATTATCTTAAGCTGAAGATTCGGTGTAATGAATACTTAGCTGAGAAGTGAGATGAAATATGGAGATGTCAGATAAAATTTTATAAAACTTACATGGTATTAGCATTTTTTATTCGGAAACCATGCACAAGTAACATGTATCGATAATTTATCGATATATTTTAGCTCTTCACTATTATTTTGTAGGTTTGAAACAAGAAATTTGTTGCTTGGCGTAGAGAGCACAGTTCGTCGTTGTTGACGTGGCGGTTAAAGGGTTAAATAAGTACTATAAGTCATATCACTCACTTTTAAACAGTAATTGATTTTACCTATTCCTATTTTTCTAGATCCACCCTTCAAATACAAGAGAGAAGCAAGTGGCTGACTGCTTCGAGCGAGGCATCGTGGTCGTCGCTTACAGTCCTTTCGGCTTCTTCGTTTCCAGAAACGGTGGCTCGATAGTCAACAAAAACGACCCCAAGATTGTTAACATTGCTGATAAGTACAGAAAGAGTGTCAACCAAGTTATTCTGCGTTACGAGGTAAGGTTACATGTTTAGTCACTTAAGCCCCATGTCGATATTGGCACTCTAACTCATGCTCCAACTCACTTGCTTCGAGAGAAGAGTGCAGAAAAGTGGTATGTTTATATCAGGAGATTTGCAATTAAGACACAATGGCTGTAATGTTATTAAGTGATTACGCGAAGAGAACTTTTTGCAATTGTCTTTATATTGGGAGCTTCTGTGAGTGTGAGAATACTCTATTCATTTCAAAAATATATATTAGCAATTAGTTCTAGAAAGTGTATGGTCCCAAAAAATAACGAAACAAAAATCTCTTCATATTTATTGCATGAATTACAGATTTCTACTAACAATTTTAGTAATTTACACTATTTGATGTTTGGTAGTAACTCAACATCAAATAGTTGATAAAATTAAGTATCTTATACTACTAAAGATTTTAAATTTCATTACAGCTCGACCGTGACCTAATCCCCATTCCAAAGTCTACGAATCGGCAACGGATTCAAGAGAATATCAACGTATTTGACTTCCAGCTGACAGATGATGAAATCGCCACAATTGGCAGCTTTAACCAGAACAAGAGCATTTTTGATTAACTTAGAAGGACACAACGTCATTAAAAGTTACAGTACTATAAAAGCTCGATTGAATGTAAAAATTTAAGTTCAAGAAAGAGTAAGTTATTGTATGTCTCGAATATGTTGTAAAGAAGACTATTCCTAATAAAGAGCAGATTTAATAAAATAAAATTGAATGTCTTTGAATTTTTCTTTTGCGGAATAACCTTGAAATTCGAATTGCGAGATTCAATATTGCATGGTACGTTGTATTTTAAATTGCTCAAAGAGGTCAGAGTTCTGGTCGTGACCATTGTCATTTCATGTTCACCTGTGATTGCGATTGAAGGGTTTCTGGGACAGAAAACTCAATTTCATCACTATAAATTTCTCCAATCTGATAAATTGTTGCACTAAAATTTAAATACACGAATTAAATACAGCAATACTAGCTTGTTAGGTCTATCGGCTAATGACTACTAAGTTTTGAAAACAAATGAGAAATAAAACACAAACATTACCCGTTATAATTAAGTTTATTTTTTATCAATTTATTTACAACACAAACTCTGATCTCTAAAGCTCTCTCTTGTTATATAATATTTGACTCATACGTCATGAAATGCGAGCAAGGGACATACGCCGTACGTTTGACGATTTGAACGCAGAAAGCCGATTTGAATAAAGTTTTCTTTCACTGTTTATACCTATATAATCTAAGATATTTACTGTAAAGTTAATCAACGTTTATGCACATTTAACATTTTACTTTTTTACATTCCTAACTCCCAAGGATTATCTATTTAATTTTTTAATAATATAAGTAATACGCTCTAATTCTACTATTTATAGTCTGTGTTCATTTCTTTTTGACGGTTTTTAACAAGGCGATTGTTTTGACTGCTGTACGAGTATTCCATGCGGAATAATGCTGTCCGTCACACGTACTACTTGTGAAGTAAACAAAAAAATAATAATATAATGTTTTAGCCATTGTCTCATAAAAATATTGCATAATGGTTTCTTTAAAAAATAATAATAATAAGGACTTTTTTATTCAAAGATCGTGCTTCACGTATAATAGCGAGGACCGTCGTATAATACACTATTGCGGTTAGTAAGGCACATTATGTAGATTGCAATTTTAAATACATTATTATAAGAGGGATTTTGTCGTTCGATTAAATATAAACTTTATTTGTCTCTAAGAAGAGCTGTTCTTAATTTAACAGTTTTATCAAAATAAGCAAGCCGGTTTTTTTTTGGTCACCTCTTGCCATATTTAAAATGGGTAATACAATTATCCATATGCGCCTTAATAAAATGGAACATTATAAACTAAAACAATTTTAATTCATAGTTGAATTAGTTTAAATATTCACAAATTTAAAAACCGCAAAAGTAAACAAGACTTACTCTGTACATTTAAATTCTAAGTCATTATTCCTTACATTTAAGTGTTATACTTAGTCTCTATATAATTTCTATAAAAACTAATAAACATCAATCAATGGAAAGTTGTCTAAAGGAACCGTCGATACCGAATAGTTCATCATAGTTTGTGGGTTTGCCAGGCCGTAGGGACTCATTCGCCATAATAGCATCCTGTTTCTTGAACCACTCGCGGTATTCTTGGAGTTTCAGTTTCCATTGCTCTGTAAATAATAAAATATGATTTTATAAATTGAATGTAAACCAGAAAGTATGGCAAAGCGGGTTTTGATCGAATTAGACCAAAGTAGTAAGAAAGCTCAATCTAACAAAAGACCGCGGGTTATCGACTTCTGGAAAGTATCATATATACTTTTCAGAGTTTTCAGAAGTCCCCCTAGAGTTTATTTTCTTGTTTAGATGCATATATCATGACTAAATAATGTTTCATTAAACTTATAATGCTATTGTCGCAATGCGCTCCATAATTGAATATCCTGAATGCTGTGTAAAACGGCATTAACCCTCTTCCATGGCAATGAAGAAACGACTTTTCGAAATTTTAATGATTCAGATAAATGTTCATCAGTAATTTCTACTGTGTATAAAAATAACGATGTTTAAAATCTCAACTCTACTTATACACGTGACGTCAGTCTATAGTCAAAACTATATGCTCTTGAGTATAGAGTGGTAGTTACTATTTAGTAGTAAAAAGTAACTAGTTTATCAACAAAAAGCTCATCAACATAAACATCGAGTATTAAAGTGTATGGCTGCGAAACGTTAACGCTGACCCAAAAAGACAGGTTGGCAGCATTTGAAATGTGGTGCTGGAGGCGGGTAAACACCAGTTGGATAGAGAAAAGAACCAACGAGGAAGTCCCACTAATTGTAAATGAAGAGAGGTAATTTTTAAATTCTGTTGAAAATAGTACTAGGGATAAAATGGTTAGCCATTTGATAAGATAATAATTTGATTCTTTAAAACAATATCAGAAAGGCAAACGAAAACGAGGAAGGCTTAGATCAACATACATACTGCAAGTAAAAGAGAAAGTGGGAGACGTGGCCTATCAAGAGGTCAAACAGATAGTAGAAAACAGAGAGCCTTGGCGATTGCTCCCAATTCAAGGCCTTAAATTGGAAGAGATAAATTAAAAAATCCCCGAGGAGTGTCTTTTACTTACTATAACATCGGTATCGTTCTAAAATCAATTTTATTGATTCTATTCCTTACACCTAATTTAAAAATTATTTAGTAGCAAAACGTTACCTTGTAACTGTGCCATGGTGCCACACTGACCACCGTACTCTGTGGGCAACATGTCTTGGGGAATAAACTTGTATAGGTCTTTTACGTCCTTGTGGATGAAGATCTGAAATAAAAAACGTAAAGTATTTTGGGGTCAGAGCGAAATGCGAAAGCCAAGTAAGTCTAGGGCCAAGATAGAGAGCCATCTATGTTTGTTTATTTCAGGTATCCCGTAGTACACTATGAGGTTTATTACAGCTATTATGAGGGCCTCAGCAATTTTAATGCGACCGCTCTTAAAGTTTCAAACTCCAGATATAATTTAGATGTAAACCTAATAGCTTTTTATATAATTACTTACTCGTTTCCTTATTTTCTCCTTCAGGAAAGGTTTGACAAAGTTGACGAATCGTTCCACAAGCGGCGATGTGTTCACAATGTGTACCTCCTTGAGTTTAATAGGATAAGCCTCCTGGAAATTATATAAAATAAAATATTGTAAATTTGAACTTGCTTATGTTTATGAAGTGAACGAAACTCCTCGACAGTGAAACTGAGCAGGTTCGTCAGATTCCGTCAAGATTATGGAGCGATGCTAGCAACAACTGGTGTTGGAGTGTTTTAGTCACGAAGGAGATATTTAAATGATGCTCAACCAATGTTTTGCCAATAGCATGAGTCAATAAGTACTTGATAGAAGTGATGGTGTTGGACCAAGGTTGTGGCGGCCAAAAGGTGTGACAATGCTAGTGGGCAGACCACTACCTTAATGGTTCGATTACTTTATTCAGTGAAAGGAATAGTTCTGGATTAGTTTCACAAAAGTTTTAAGTTTAAGATGTCACGCTGACAGAGCATTAAACATCAACGAACAACAGTAAAACATAATTACTTCGTACCTGAATACAAATCATAAATTTCTTAATCGTAGCGGCAGACAGCTTAGCCAACAAGCTGGGCCCAAGAATAGCTGCATCTAATACATAAATGTCTCCAGCCACTCCTTCTTTTTCTTCTGTAAGCCTTACATCGCCGATCATAAGTGCCAGTTTCAGGGTGTCTGTAATCTGCTGAGCGTTGAGGTCAGGATGAATTCCTGTCAAAAGATTTAAGGAAAAAGTATGAAAAAAACTTGAAAAAAATAATGAAACTTGAACAGAAAAAGAGAAATAGCATGCTTATGAGTATTCTAAGGGGAACTATCAATTTTGATTGACTTACCTCTGCATATTGTGACTCTTCTGCCATTCGGTGTTATGCCTGGTAGTGGAGGTCCTTGACTGAAAATTGTATGAATTAAAGAATTATTCTCAAATGTCAAGAACAACATTTTCTTATTAGAGAAAAATAAATTGCACTAAACGAGTTTCAATTAATTTTGCGTGTCGCGTTGATATTAAGTATGATGTCACTGCAAAAATTTGGAACGGGTGCCTACTTTCTATTTTTATTAAGTAGTACAATTTTGCCCACTAAAGAAGCTCCCGCAAATCACTCTAATAATTCGATTTAATGGAATAGCATTGGTCTGCGTGTTTTTATGTATAATATGTATGTATTTACAAAAATTCGGTATTTCGATCGGATTCGGATCGGATTCGGATGTCATTCCATAGCTCTGCTTATTTTGGGACTAGATAGTGTCGATAATGCGATATAAGGTACAACATTTAATTTTTAATTATGTTAAAAAGTTAAAATGTTAATTTTGAGTTACCTGTAATATAGTGTTTGTAACTTACATCTTATTGGTCATGATGTCGTCTAGCTCAGGTCTCGTAGCATCTCTCTTGGAGAAGAACTCGGGACAAGCAGCTCGCATAGTGAAATACATGTCCAATTTCTTTTTACACTTTTCCAGGGAAAAACTACTGCCCCGTAGGAATGTCATAATTGGTGCAGTATCTGTAGTTGTGTAAGGTTAATGTTTAAAAAATGAGAAATAAGTGTAACGGCCTGTTGTACTTAAACCATTATTAGAGGTTGAGGAAAAAAAAACTGACCTTACTAAAAATCATAAATATTTAGTTGAATGGCTAAATAAAAATTAATTATTTTGGCTACATTAGTTAAATGCCTTGCAGATATTTCTTTTTTATCAGCTAAAAACACTACCTTGACTACTAGATCTAACTTATTTTATCTTACATACTTTAGAAAAACTTTCCCAATCGGTTAAAATAAACATTCTTTGCCATGCCTTATTCAGCCAAGAGATTATAGTTCCTAAGTCGTTTTCTTTTTCATTGAGATAATATATCACTTGTTTATGGCAGTACTGCATATTTGAGAACTCTTTTAATAGGAAACTCTAGACATTCATGAAAATACAAAATACGAAATTATTTTTAACTATTTTACATTATGTGTTAAGTTGGATAATGTCCTGGTATTTTACAATCTCCTTTCACCATCATTTTTCCTATAAATTTCTAAACCACATAGTTTGTGAGTTTAAACATGTTTATCTCTTTGATTTACCTTATTGTTTAGAATACTAATCTCTTAAGGCACGGAAAATAGAACCTTTTGGATTCTTACACCAGTAGAGGTAATAACTTACCCCAGTCATTAGGCAGGTGTGGTTGCCTGTTTAGCCATTCTCTAATAGCAGCTACATCCCTGTCTCTTGTGTTAACATCTTCTTTTAGCTCCACGCGGATATTTTTCCACATTTCACCAGCTGGCTGTTCCAGAATCTCTTGCTTCATCTTCATTTTGCTCTGGAATAAGCAAAATTTCATAACAATATAAGAAATATGCTTTAGAGTGGATATTGTCTTGGATAATAGTTTGTGTTGGCTTTTTACAAGACGTAGTTACATGTATAAGGTGTAGTCATGTCAGTGAGACTGTTCTTCTGATATCTATATATGTATCGTTCAATTTTGAAATTTAATTGGCAGTTTTTAAATAAGATTTCTATAATTGTAAGCCCTTAACGAGGCCTAGCAAAAGACCCTGAATTAAGACCACTGGTTTCACCTAGGACTTTCTTCTAGTGCTGTGCTAAGAGGAATCTAATATTATTTATATCTTTTTTGACTGAGGACCACACTAACAACATTGTCATTGAAAACATATGATTGAGTTGCGGTTTATTGAAGCGCCTATTTTATTATAATTGTATTTAAACATAATTGCATGTGTCTTTTTTTCTATAAAGGCATAATAGTTAATCCGCAAGATGTAAGCCTCACTGATTGACTGATAATAAATTTGCGGCCTGTAAATAAAATATACGTAAAATTTACTGCCATCCGACTGAGTTATTAATAAAGCTCAATAAAAATATGCTTGTATGGATATTTAATTGACAATTATTGTATATTCATTAGTTATTATCTGTTAAATTACCTACTAAACTTAAACTATTATTGTTAAATTATCAACACGATTTTAGACTACAGAACTAACTAAATTAATGAAGAATATAATATTTTCGCCCAAAATCGATCTAAGTGGCGTGCAATGCGAGAGGCCTCCAGCAGTGGAGTGCGATAGGCTGATGATGATAATAATACTTTCCATTTATATTATGTATTTCTCGCATTTGAGGTTTTTTGTAAGTTATAATCTGCGTAACTCGAAAATCCTAACTAATATATAAAACGTGAATAATTGTATTTCTTTTAACCGGTCATGGCTGAACTTCTCAACTAACACGACGAACAAAGAAGACCGGTCTAGAAAAAAGGTACAGGTATAAAAATAAATTTTATAGGAGCAAAGCCATCGAATTCTAGTTAACACATAAAGCCAAAATATTGTCAATAGTTTTGTGTCAACTAACAATCTCTTACGGGTCATGGTAACTTTAAGAGCAAGCTTTATTCATTTAAATTAGTCGAGTCACCATTGTGTCAATGCTCAACACCTAACTCTCACTATGAACAGTCTGCTCATCATATCCTCTGGGAATGTAGTCTTTGGTATAATGAACGTAATATAATGCTGAATAGCTTGCAGGTGACATCTGGGGCGGTATACTATGGGGATCTTGTGTCAACTAGGGTGAATTGCCGTGCGTTTAGGCGATTCTGCCATACATATTATAAAAATCAAACATAGCTCACGTAGGACCCGTAATATTTGTGGCCGTGGTGCTTCCCTGTTTAAAAGGGTGTGTGCCCATTTTACTTAATTTTGTCTCCCGCTTTGCTAAGGAGGGAAGTGGATTTACTAGTATTGTATTTCCAACTCCCCCAATTTTCTTCTGATTAATTTCGTTGCGGGTTCCAAGACAGTTTAATTACTTCCTGGGACTTCCCGAGTGTCATAACTCGGTGTGTTCGTGGATCACTGCTGTGGATCCTGGTGTACAGGAGTTACAGTTGGTGGGCGTGTGGGCGGGATTAGTCCCATAAAATAAGACACAACTATTGACAATATTTTGGCTCAGACAACAGAAATACAGGCAAGAAAACAGAAGTCAATTGTCATATCGACAGATGGCATGGTACTTTAATAAGTCACTCTCGTGCGTATTAGATTTCACTTGCAACTAAGAAGTTGATGATACTTCGAAAGCAAAACAGCTTCCTGCATTGACGGGAAATCACTATTGATTTAAATTTATTACATGATGTGACATTCAATGTTCATTAATTAGATGACGTTAATGAAATGATTTAATCCACAAAACCAGCTTAAATAAAAGTATTGATCCCAAATTCGTTCTTATTGGGTCAATATCTACTTGACTTCAGTGATGAGCACAAATATTTTTCTGATTTTGGATGCTCTAAATACCTGAATTCGGGTCGAATTTAAATTGGATCATTTCTACACAATACAAGCTTCAATTGCCAACACGGTTCCACGACAGTAACTTTACATAAATCATTATAAGCCGTCAAAAGGTAAAAAAGAGGCTAAACTGCATCCGCCAAATTCGCCAGAATTTCGCAACGTATCAATTTGTTCGAAAGGCGCTAAGGTCATGTTCGGCTCAACCATTTTTGATATTGAAGGCGTGTCGTGGCGAAATATGGTAAAGTTGTTGCAATTTCAAGAGTAACAGGGGACTCTCGACAGTGTGTTATTTTATGAAATATATTTGAATGCGCGATGATTTCTGTTGTAGTGACAAACGAAGTAAGTGATGCGATTCTATTGCAGACGTCACTAATTTTGCTTACTCTCTGTATTTGTTTATTCTTAAAGTGCCACCTCTGTCAGTGATTCTCCAGCTCCGTTTTATGCTGCAAAAAACGTTTGTTTCGACACTCTCAAGGTAATTAAAAATAATAGGGTATTTTCCGTTTACATAGAACTTTGGAATTTGGCAAGTAATACCGTCTTACACTACAAGTATAGGAAAAAATTTGAAAACTATACATTTATAATTAAATCATAAAAAACATAGTCTTTATGCAAGGAACGGCGGTCCAAATTTTGAATTTAGTTAACCGTATGGGGTATCGTAAGAAATGGCTTCTTTGTCAGAAGCTTAAACAGATTTTAAATTATTTTATGATATATAGTTTTCAATTATAAGTTTGTACGGAACCCTCGGTGGGCGATTCCGACTCGCACTTGTCCGGTTTTTTATATATTTAATTAATAGTAATAAACAGGATGTGTATAAATTAGAGGATTCGTATCATTCAATAGATTAGTAATGTAAATAACAATTGCCCTTAATGAGGACATTTAAAAGAAGATATTAATAGTGGATTAGGTACTTGAGCGGAGTAATGGTCATGAATGACAAAATAAGTACCTATGTATACATTTAGACGATATGCGTGCTTATATAGTAGGTTTCAATTTTTTTTTGCATCTACAAAAATGTAATGGTCAAGGTATCAATTTGCCCGCACATTTGTTCATGTCAGTGCAATAACTTGAACAAGCTCGTAAGCTAAAGATTTATGAAGAAGTGCTGTTGTCTCTTGTTTGATGTTATCTATTTATGCGTTGATCTGACAAGAGACATACTTTATACTTACAGAAGTATCTAACTAACGTTTGAATAAAGAACAATTAAAAATGAAAATATTTAGTCGCATGCGCAATCTATGTAGGCATGTGTATTTATTTACTATGCGGATTTTACTATTAACTTGTAGCTTTGGTCACGAGTATACTGTACTAAAATCACACGTCACATCCTATTTTCTCTACAGCGTTACCATTAAGTGAAGGAAATAAATTATTGGTATTACACCGCCAGGTACGTAACTGCTATCATATTGTTTGTTGTATTACGGTGGAGACTAGTCGTTCAGATTTTCGTCTAAAGAGGGATACCCTATTAGATAATGCCCATTCGCGCTAAGTTGAGACGTGTTAATGAGTGACTTTACGCCTGTTACTTCTTCTCATCGTTGAATCAAATATGTTGTACTATAGACAAAGACAACAGCATCTAAGGACGTCGCGTACCTACATATTGTTATCCCCACCGAATAATAGCGTAAAATATTGTAACCATCGCTTGCGTTTTATATCCGTCATCGTCAGATAAAGTTATGATTCGATATTGTCATCGGCATTTGACACGCGCGTCAAATAATAAATCGGATAATTGAGGTTGGTGGGAATAACGTTAAAAATTGCTATATGTAGATAAATTCATTCATGCATACATATACACCAAGCTACAAAAAGCGTGTTAAAACAGTTTATTGCAATGATTAGCTGTAATGGTTCATCGGTTTTGAGCAGGTTCTGATGGGCTAAAGTGTTTATCTATAATGACACGATCGTTACTTTAATAATAATAGTAAGACAATTATTAGAAATATTCCAAGTTTCTAATGTTACGTAGGAAATTACTCATTTATTAGTCATTTATTTTGATGACAATGTGGTCTATAATGTAATAAAATAGATGTAGAAAAACAATATTACTGATTTAATGTATTTTAATAAAAACCTTTTTTAATATATTGAACGCCCCTTCCCCTTAAAACGAGACTTACCCCTCCCACACCACACCTCCCACCAATGTAACTCGTGTACACCAGGATCAACAGTATTGACCCACAAACACACTGAATGTATGATACTCGAGAGTCCCAGGAAAAATTAACCTGCCTTGTAACCCGCAACGAAATAATTAACAGAAAACTGGGGGAGTTGGAAAATAAATCTACTTTACTCCTTAGCAAAGTGGGAGACAAAATGTAGCAAAAACAGGCATACGCCCTTTTTAACAAGGAAGCACGAAAGGGACGTCCCAAGATGTCCTAAGTGAAAATATAGGTATAAAAAAACTTGAATCCAGCAAAGGACTTAAACATGTTTTAAGAGAACGTTTGCCGGTAACAGGTACTTTTAAGAAGACAATTCTTCAGTATACTACCGATCTGGCACATGTTTTTCGCTGCCTGCCTGCACCGGCTCGATCACTCACAGGACACTAGTGCGAACACTTATAGTGCTCTTTTAATCTTCGTTATCCTTTTCAACATTTTCTCAATTCTTGTCGCCATATCTTTATATTATAGCATACCGTTTTCAGTTTTACATTACACATACTTATTAATTTAAAAATAAATTTATTCGACAAAAAATACTGTTAAATTTCATTCGTAAAGCTTATGTTCTGTGCTGTGAGAGAGTAGCCAGGGTTGTTTGGGAACAGGTTGGTTTACTCTTTTCGTTATTGATTTTCACGTTTGTGATGATTTGAGGGTTTAAAGGTGACGATGTGGCCATGTAAGCAGTGTAAACGTACTTAGCAAAGGTAGCTGGATAGATAGAAAAACTAAAATAAGATAGTATGCCTTGATTGTGATCTAAAGTAAAAGGAAGATCTATTAGTTAATGATGGAGCCAGGAGGTTGACAGCCACCTCATCCAATCCGAATCTTAGAAAATATGTTTCTAGTCTAAGTGAGAAACGGTCATGGTCTAGAGACTTCATTTGTCATGTCAAACTTGAAATTTATCATTACAGAGTATAAAACAAAGTCGCTTTACGCATCTCTCAATAGAATTGGCAACTTCTATAAAACGAAGAAACTGACAGACTAATTCACGCAACGACTGATCAACGCACAGCTGAATACGCTGGGTCTAGAGCATGAAATTTTGCACGTGTGACGTAGGTGTTTTTAAATTTTTACCCCTAAGGGTAAAAATGGGGGTTGGAAATTTATATGAATTTTGGTAAACACTTTTTTGGTAAAAATTTTGGTAAAAACAAACTCACAGTAAATACTAAAACTATATTAAAAGTAATAAAACACGTTGTTACAAATTTTTCAAATCTACCCGTCTACTAAAAAGTTTGTATTGGCTACATTTTTTTATTCCTTATCGACCAAACTCTTTTCTAAGTCTCAGTGTAATTACTACGATGTCTACGATTGACTGCACGGATGGCGTAGTGGTTTAAGCGGCCGCCACGCCGCTTTCTACTACGCTGAGTGTTGTGGGGTCGAACCCCACAACGACGTGGGACGACACTTTGTGTGATCAACAAATTGTTGTTCTGAGTCTGGTCTGTTCTATGTGTCCGTTTCATGAAAGTCCCCCGCGACACAGGATATATTCCTAGTGCAGGACAAAAAAAAAGTAATGTCGACCACCAAGTGCGACGGCGAAGTCGCGGACAAAAGCTAGTTAAGCATAGGCTTACGAATGGCTTACTTAAACTGTGTGAAGCCGGGGTAGGTAGCTAGTAAACACTAAAAATACTTAACAATATTCTGTTATCAATAATGATATTATTCACCGTCTAAATAAATATTTGGCTATTTTATTTTATCACATAATTGGTTTAAGATAAAAATAGATAGCTGTTATCGAAACTCTTGTAAAAAGGACGCTATCGACCATATTATCATGAGCTTTTATGGTTATCTGATAAGAACTCGTAGCACCCATTGAATATGATACGAATTGTGGGTAGTAAAGGTGAACAATGCACGTAGCTTCTAAATTAGCAGACTCAGTTCTCATTTCATTGATTAAAATTATTTCAAGAATAAAGAAAATAGGCTCCACAGTATTCAAAGTAGTGATGTAATTCTGACCGTAGGGAATCATCCAAATTGCACAAGCCAGGTTTTGAAAGGTAGCAAGACTGTTCAGATTAAAAAAGTTGCCCGGAGTATATTTTGCGTTATTAAGTATAAGTATTCTGTATAAAATATTAATATATTACTTCAGACATAATGTAACATTTCGATCTCATAAAATGAAGGATAGGGCTGTCAGTATCGCCGGTAGAAGCAGGATTAAGGCGCTCCGGCAAGTTTTTATTTGGAAGTAGTTTTTTGAAGCCCAAGATAGTACATAGTACGAGTAAGACAGGATTGTGGATCTTTCCGCTTCAGACAGTCAAATTTTTCTTGACTGGGATGTCAAAGATATTTGTTTCATAAGGTATTGTTTTGATTTTATGCTAATCTAAGAACAGCTATGCCTGCCTGTATTTACCTGTATGTTGAAGAGCGGTGTCATCTAACACAGACAATGTTTTGCCTAAAAGGAGTACTCCGATAATTATTCTATTGGATTAAGATGAAGAAATAAATATATATTTTTATTATTTCTTAGAACTACAGTATTAACCTTATGTTTTTTTTTTACACACGGTTTTACCACTAGAACTAGTTTAGAACTAATTAGTTGATAACTTACCTCTCTGTTGCGGTATGTTGTTGAGGAAATGAAACTATTTGATCGTCTGAGATGTGTTAGATCCTTTATAAACAATCTGAAAAAATAAAAGAAATTTTGAAAAGAATGTTTATATGAATAGATACTGTTTTAAAGTTATTCAATACAATAGTATATTGTTTAGTATATTGTGTGTGTAGTAGATCAATGCCAAATAAAGAATACTAATATTTATTTATTTTAACCCGTATTTATTTATTTTATTAACGGAAAACCCACAACTACGAGACCAATTTAGGCAAAACAATAGGTAACAGAAAGCCAATTGCAGGTTTTCACGAATGAAATAACAGCATTATCAATATAAAATCAAGAACACATAATGTTCGTGACATGGTATACAGATATTTTAGTTACGGTTTGTTTAAATAAGCTGATCTCCAAAGGAGTTAAGATTTACCAGTTTTGTTGCCGTGTCACTTTTTATATCGTATCGCATAAGGATCGAAATCGTAATCTTTGTTTAATATGTTGAAATGTTGGCTACTGTTACAGCCACTATTACGAATTATTTTTAACTGACTTCAAGAAAAGAGGAGGATTTACTATTCGACAATTTTTTTAATTGACATCTGTCATAGTTTCTAATCTCACCAACAGCCTTTACTAGTCCACTTCTGGACATAGGCCTTTCCTTAGAAAGGAGGGTTTGGCCTACTATACCACACTGGGTCTAGCCAGTGTGGTATAGTAGGCCAAACCCTAGGGTATTCTATAATAACCCTAGGGTTTTTACAAGGGTTTTCTATAATAACCTTAGGGTGTTTACAAGCCCTATGGCTTGTTTCAAGTTTTCCTACTCTTTGCGGTGCTGTTGTTTTGCGTAGTTTGTTCCCTTAGTCGGCTCTTACGACACCCACGAGATGAATAGGAGTGGTGACATTCCGTATTCTTAATCCCTCACCACACTGACAACGGTGGTCCAATTATACACAGTAAGTCAGCATTGGGGGGCTGGTTATAATTCCTCGTCGCCTCATGTATCTATATAACGCTTCATCTTTTTATATGTGTTCGTAATCACCCGTATATAAAAAAAAACTGGCTCTTGACCGTTTCTAATCTAGTAGTTTTTAATTCTTTTATTTTGACATTAATTTCTGACATTTTTTTTGACATTTCTATGTCAGACATACCTAGCTCAAATTTTATTGTTTTATTATATATAATTGTATTGCACATTGTTGTATTAATTATTATTGTGTTATTCATGAAACTATAATAATTTAATTACTATTGTCAAGATATAGCTCCAATCAACTTATACTTGTATTCATGATCATTTGCCGTAAACTACAAGTGTTTGTAGCAAATAAATATTTATTATTATTATATCTGTTGTCAGTTAAATAACTTGACGGTTAAAGGGTCAGACTGCCTGTCCACAGCCTATTCAAGTTACTAATTTAATATTGTATCAATAGACTGTCGACAGACCGTCATCGGAACAGTTTTGGACTTTTCGTATTCTACTAACCTAAATAAGACCAATGGTCTTCCGATGACTTGTCACTGAACTACCACTTATACAAATAACGTCGATGTCTTTGTAAAAGTTTGGCCCTTTACGGGAATTGAACCCACTGAGGCAGCGCTTTTCAAATTCCACGCGAACGAAGTCACAGGCATCAACTAGTCATACTATACACATCGAAATCTGTTCAGATTTAGAAGTTATTTGGGAATAATTGGAATAAGAAACCCTAAAACAATACACTACTTCCATGAGCAGTCGTGATATACAAAGGCATAGAGACATTAATTAAAATTAGGTAAATTTTCTCATAAACGATTTACACATTTATGAGTAAAATAGAAAAAAATAAGGAGACTAGTATAATCTCTCTATGGTAGCTATTATTGATTGGTACTCTATCGCGAAATTTAAAAATATATGTTGTGGGTACAAGTATATTGTTATAAGTGTCAGTGAGTCAAGGCGAATATAGCGAGCGCTATTGCACGTATCGTAATATTATTTATGCTAGTTCTATGGGGTATGTGTCTTGCAATTTAGCAAAGGTACGCAAAGGTCACGACCCTGACCTGCATATCCTTACACATTCTTGCTATGCAGATATGTTTAAGTTGGCTAAATCGCGCTATAATGTAGTTGTAGAAGAATTCATAAACAGTTAAATTCTTTGTATTGTTACTAAAAGCGTCCTCAGCGATCCCTCTTCGAGATACCACAGTCTTAGTCTGTTGTTTTTAATGTTATAGGGGCCAACGAGCAGATATGTCCTGGTAGTAAGTGACTACCGCCGTCCATGGAAACCTGCAACTCATGAGACACAAGTGCACCGCCCCTTGAATACCCTATCCATCTTAGGGGAGAGACTGGTTTCGGTAACCTTACTCAATAGTTGAATAGCAACAAAAGTATTCCTTAACGACGGTTTTCTATATGACCGTGATAATACTCCGGTCGAGCCCTCTCATATTATGTGCTAAAGCATAGCAAAGCTCTCATCCTTATACCAATTGACTGCAGGAATGCCGTAGTGGTTTAAGCGGTCGCTACTCCGCTTCCTACTACGCGTGTTGTGGTTTCAATCCCCACATGGACAACAGTTTGTGTGATCCACAAATTATCCTTCTGAGTCTAGGTGTCCTTTGGGTCCGTTTCATGTATGTTTGTTAAGTCCCCCGCGACACAGGATATATTCCTAGTGCGGGAGTTGTCTTTAAAATAAAACCGACCGACGACCCCAAATATATTTGGCATAAGGGCAGGTGGATGTCATGACTGTAAATGTTATTCTAAAAGTATAAGTTTGTTAATTTGGTATAAATCCTTGCCTACGAACATCAGTATTTGTTAAGTCGTGATAAATGAGACATAAGGGGCAGTTAAATTAGTAACATTTTTTTTTATAGACAACTCCCTAGGCATAAATCCTGTGTCACTTCAATCTGGGGCACTTTACGAACATACATGAAACGGACAAAAGGAACACCCAGACTCAACACAACAATTTGTGAATCACACAAAGTGTCGTCCCATGTGGGGATCGAACCCACAGCACTCAGCGTAGTAGTAAGCGGCGTGGCGAGCGCTTAAACCACTACGCCATCCGTGCAGTCAATTTTAATAGGTACATTTGATTACAAAGTACTTATCCATTGGGTTGAACTATACTTATGCTTGTAAACTTTACTTGTGAACAATAAATACATTATTATTATTATAATTTCAGTCTACACTCATTGTTTAAACGTGACGTATTCAAATAGCTTTGAGCTCTTGACCTTATGTCATTATTGTCATCGGCAATTATGACAGCTGGAAATGTGTTAATGGACCATTGGAATCTTTTTGTCGAATATACAGGGTGTAGGAATTACTAACAAATAAATATGCTGATTTTAATGACAATTATAAGTCGTTATTTCTTTTCAGATAAATAACAATAATAAATTAGCTTTTACTGGCTACTATTCTACTAATTCTACTATTCCTTGGGATCAGTACGTTTTCTGTGTACATTAAGTCTTTTCCGTGGCTCTGATAAAAAACATTTTGTTGACAATCGGCTTAGTTGATTAGTTAAAACGTGAAAATACTTAGTTTTACGATTGAATTTACCGTTTATAGGCATTGAATGTCTTTTTCTGTAAGCCGTTTAGTAATCATGATCATACTAGTTTGGACTCTCTCAAGAAACAAATAAGCAAACTCGAGTGGTCTCCACATTTATATCGTTTAACTGTTTATCAATTAAAATTTATCAGTTAACTGGGACTTAGTAGACAACGGGACTACACTTTATGTGATTCAGTAATTGTTGTTCTGAGTCTGGATGTTCTTTGTCTCCGTGTCATGTATATATGTAAAGTAAATGTCTTAAAAACATCTGATCTTACTCTTCACAAAAGTAGTTATGCAATATTACTTGAATGATGTGTGAAGTTAAGAAAAGGTCACATCTACGCAATTTAAAATACGTACGTTTAAGGTATGTTTCCACGGTTAATCTTCCATAGTGTTTTTTATCATTGTGGAGGGCCACAAAATCGAAAGAGTGTGCGAATACAAATATCTAGAGACATGGCTCAATGACACCCCGGCTGCCCCAATTTAAAACCCAGTAAGTGTTTTTTAACAAATTTTACAGGAGAGCGCAAAAACATAAAACGGACTAGCCTAACAAAAGTGTTAGAGTTAAAGTAAAAAAGTGATATTTATTGGATTGAGTACTAACCACTGAAAACCAATAAAAACGATGCCTAATAAAACATGGCTTGTAAATAGAAGCATATTGTGTATGTCATCTAGGATTTACAACAAACTTCCTGTGAATATATGTAAATTAGATAGCATTAGTGAATTTAAATTTAAATTAAAGATTATATTACAACAAAAAATATACTACAGTGTTAAGGAATACTTAGAAGACAAATATTTAATATAAACATTATGCTTTTCTTGTTTAAATTCTATTTACTACAATTTAGTTAATTTGACTCATGATCTACTATTTAATTGACATAATAATTATTGTAATTTATTTTGACACAAATGTTGACATTAACTTTTTTTTTGTTTTTTGTTATTTTTATATAGATGTGACTCATGAATTATGTCTAGATTATGTTTGAAATGTTTTAGTAAAATTGTAATATAAACAAAAGTATATTGAAATATTTGCATGCCATAAGGTGGAATATGAAGGAACGAAAATTACCTTTTTAACAACTTTACTATTGTACCCATATTCGCAAATAAATGTTATTATTATTATTATTACTGATTGCAAAATGAGTAAAATATTTCGAAAATAATTTATATCGCATGTTTTGTACTCCTTACTAACTTTAAAAATGAACAAACTCAACTTTTACCTCTGTCCTGACGCGTTTCAAAACCTAGTATAAGCACTTGCTGTGTTCTGGAATGGGTATAATGTATCTTGTCACGTGTGCTTTCGGTGTAGTTCCTAGTATGTGCATGTTTCAGCAAGGAAAATATTCAGTAAACACTTATTTTGGAATCATTTATTATTAAAACAAATGTGTTTTTATATTAATTTAAAAGAAGAAATACTGATTAATTAATTTCTGTTATCATTTTACCTTCACTTATTAAATCAACTGAAGAATCATTCACAGGAAGATTAAGCCAGAAAGCCTTACGCGATTTCCCCTCACACGTCGCTATCCCCTAGAATTGAGTTCGTTCACAATTTAGAAAAAGTTGCATTGACCATTTTAAAACCTAGCAAGTGTTAGTGACATACAAGGTTTTATAGTTGTGAAATCGACTTACTAGGTTTTTGTATTGGTTTTTAGAGAGCACGTAGAACACTTACTAGGTTTTACATTATCAGATTATCCTTAATTTGTAAGATTTTAAAGCAGGTAATTTCACAATTCCACGCGACTCACTATAAAAGTTCGAAATATGCAAAAAGAGTGATTTCAGAAAAAATTACCCTTACTGGGTTTTATATTGGGGCAGCCGACCCGCACCCGTAAACAGGAGGTAAAGACTCGCATTAGAAATAACTCGTAGTGCCTTCTGCAAGTTAAAAAAAGTACTCTGCAATCGCAGACTTAAAATCCCCCTGCGCATAACACTCCCACAGTATTACATCTGGCCTATACTTCTGTACAGATGCGAGGCATGGACAACTAAAGAAGACCTCAGACCTTAGAAGTTTTCGAGATGTAGGTATTTAGGCGAATTTTGGCCATTAGTTGGACTCAGAGTGTCTCGAATGAGGAAGTTCTGCGACGCGTCAAGAAGAATCGGCAACTTTTAGAGATCGTCAAAAAGAGAAAACTTGCATATTTTGGACACGTACTTAGGCATGGAAGATACTTCCTTTTACAGATCAATATGATGGGTAAGGTTGCCGGAAAAGAGGGGTTGGTCGCAAAAGAAAGTCGTGGCTACAACAAGAAAGAGTACGCAGAGAAGAAGTGTTTTTATAGTGCAGGGGGGCAAACACAGTTGCTTCAAATAAGTCATCACTTGGTGACAGGCAATGAAGGAATTGCTTAACACTGGTTTTCTGTGAGGCTGTGCTATAACTCCGATCGAACTAGCCAAAGTATATCACGGAAGAGTTGCAAGAGCATTTGATTGAAATATAAATCGTTTACCCGCATAGTGCCGTTCAATGCAGTTGTAGACACAGTTAGGTGCATTTACCTCGATGCATCGCGTGCCTTGTTAACAATCCGTCTAACCGTAGTCATTGATTAGCAGTTACTATCAGACGTGCTATTTGTTTATTACTCAAAAATGCTCCACTAGAGCAGATTAGAAATTAGTCTAGATTGGAAGGATTTGAGATTAGTCTAGTCTAGATTGGAATTTAGTATTCTAATTTCAAAATCTGTCGACCATGAGTAATACGAATAACACAGACTTAGAAAATCAGAAAACGATTTATAAATATTTAAATCAAATGCTCTTCCGTGATATACTTCGGCTGACTTGACTCGATCGACGACGAAAATTAGGCTAATCTCAAATCTTTCGATTCTAGACTAATTTCAAATCTGCTCTAGTGGAGCATTTTTGAGTAATACCTAATCAAATAGCTCGTCTGATAGTAACTGCTAATCTGTGGCTATGGTTAAACAGATTGTTCCCAAGGCATGCGATGCATAGAGGTAAATGCACCTAACTGTGTCTACAACTGCATTGAACGGCACTATGTGGGCGTGAAAACGTTACATTGATATCAAGCTGTCAAGAATATATTGCTCTCGCCTTTATTTATTTATTTATTTATACTTCCTGCAAATACATTGCATAAGGCGGACTTAATGCCATAGGCATTTTCTTCCAGTCAACCTTGGGGTGATGCAGAGATTTGTGTGTGGCAGGTGTATAATGAGATAAATTATTTAAATTGTAGTCGGTTGCAAGATGTTATACTACACAGATATACGGGGATACATATATAGGTGCAAATATCATTTATACGTACTATATAATACTATAAATATAAAAAAAACATAAACATACACACATACATCCATACATATATGCCTGCATTGATGAACACAAAAGGGGTTATTTTGATGACTCCGTCAACAAGTCTCCATGAAGCATGCGTACTCTGGTCTTAAAGATTGTTCGGTTGGTGGATGTCCTGATCTCTAGGGGAAGGGCGTTCCAAAGATTTACCGCTTGGACAGTGAAGGAAGAATGTACGATACGAGAGCTATGTGAAGGACAAAGAAGGAGGAAATTATCAGCGGAGCGAAGGCTTCTGTCATGGTTGGAGCAGAGATATTGCAGGTGGGATGTTAAGTAAGTAGGTGAGGTAGGTGTGCGAGCTAATTTTTTTTTTTGAAGTATATGACAGCGTGAGTGAAGCATCAATATTTAGGTCTAATTAAAGTCAATGGAGTCAAGCGTGTAACCTGAAGTAGTTAATAAGAAGACAGCTAAGGTATCCGATGAATGACGATCCAATGTCATTACTAGTAAATATTATTAGTTAACAATTCAATCATAAAGGAAGATTCTTGATTGTTATGTCAAGTTCAAGAGATATATGCGAAAAGATAGAAGCCATAATAACCTTCATCTTGCATTTCTGTTACCATAAGCGGATTTTAAGCTTCATAAAGATCACGATTCTTTGTTTCTTCTATTTTCAATGCAGTGAACCTTACACGTATAATATTTGATTTATTTAAAAGTTATTAATAAAAACCCTTTTAGATAATTTGAACTTTGACAACAACATATTATTTTTATACTACAAGTTAGTGCTTATATGTATGTATTTGAATACCATTCCAAAAAAACATCCTGTGTTTCACTCTCGGGTCCCGAAAATAATAGAAAATCAGTTATTGGGTTTTAATTGTTCTCTTGTTAAGTAGTACATAACATTTCAGGTACTTATATTACATGATTTTTGGTCTTACATGCTTGTTTAATAGCCACGACAGAGGTTCTAGGCTAGTGAGGGAGGGACGGAGGGCTAGTGTGGATGTCACAGTCAATGTAACATTTTAGTAATAAGTAGATATATGATATTTTTGAAAAATAATAATTATTATTGTCGAACCGACTTATATATTTATTATAACCCGAAGTATGGCTCCCGCACGCACAGAATAAAAAGCTTTTAAGTTTCTTAATATTATTGAACAGAACTCTAAATGATTGCACATATCTATTCAGAACGATTAACACTTATAAACGATTAACTGTTTATCTCAAATGAAAGGTAGTACTTTTTGTAAGTTAATATTTTTTTAATTTGCATAGGTCCGCAAAACAGACAACGTAGTTTAATGAAAGGTATCTGTTTCGTCACCGGCTTTTGTCCGATATTGGGCCATTGGACTGCTTCAGTAGAATGCAACGTCTATCACTACCTGTGGCAATTGTTTTCTTAACCTTGACTGGTTAACATCGTGAGTACAGCCGCAACATTGAACGCGCCCTTCAAATTCAAGAGGGGGTATTTGAAGAGACTAAGAAAAATGGTTGCCCAAGCGTGCGCAATCTCGGTTTATTGTGGTTGATTACAAAACTTTGAGTGCTTTTAGAGTGCACAGTTGATTGATGCAATTAAATTAGTGCTTAATATTGTTTTAGTAACTTATTTTACTTGTCACCAGCAGTTACGATGATAGAAGAATTCTTTGTAATATACAGGGAATACACAAACTCATTGTTCATCATTGCATTATAGTATGCTGATATTCTTCTTAAAAAGACTCAAGCACTGGGAATATATCTTGTGTCGCGGGGGACTTTACAGTTTAATGAAACTAACACAAAAAATACCCAGAGCAAATTTTGACGGATCAGTTTTGTTCCATGTGCGTCCTCTATTTGCGAAAACCCGTGAATATGCTTCGTTGTTACTTTATTATAATGTTACCTTAAGTTTTTTGTGCTGTTGGTATTCCGAACAAAATAACATAAATAAAAACTACCGTGGAATGTATGTATTTCATATTAATAATTTGTAAAATTTAGTATGTAAATAATTTACCAACTTTTATAATTTCAATTTAAGTCATCGGTCCTTATCCAAACAAGTCGAGGTAATATGTTGACAATATTCCGTAATAGTATTTTTCGTCAGCAATATGTGAGCGAAGAACTTGTCACTACTTAAAGTAAGTAAATATTTCTATAGGTTCTGTAAATGGATTTCTGTCGAGAACGCGGCACATACGCAGACTACATTACATTAAGAAGAAGAAGAAGCGTGGTAGTCCGGAGGTCAAGGAAGACCATTATATTTCATTATATTTATTAATAACAATAAAGTTCTCTGAATGGAAATTCAATTTCCGTGAATCAGTTATAGATAAAGTCAAGGTAAACAAAAAAATAAAAATAAATAAATAAACTAAATAAAATATATATAAAAAATAACTAAATAAAATAAATAAATAGTAAAGTAAACCTAATTGATATTATAAATGCGAAAGCAGTTTTGTTTGTCAAACGACCATAAACGTTGTGAGAGATATAGGCAAAGAAAAAATGTAATAAATAAACAAAATCATAGCAAATCGGTAAACAAATAGCACGATGATAAATGAACACCAAAAATAAAATAAAAAACAAATAAATCCACTGTCCCATTTTGGTGTACTTATTCGCCACTTGTGACAAAGTTATTTCTTGCAAAATTTGCGAAATGAATATACTTAGTAACATTAGTAATTTGCATTATAATTTGCAACATTGCAATAAACGCATTAAGTAATTTAAATAAAAAAAATACATTATTTTAAATATTTAATATTATTCTTTGACACTAAGCAACATTTAAAAGCCTAATTGCCTTTTTTCGTGCCTAATTGCGCTTTTAACATGCTCAAATTGGGGACGATTCCGAATATTTGAACTTAATCGGGGCGGGGGTTACTTCAATTTTGATCACAATATCTTTCAACATTCTAAATGTACTTTCAAAATTTGCAAAGACACATAGTTAAAGTAAACTTGTTGACACTCAAAAATGACCACATTAATCAAACAGTTTACCTTTTTTTTTTAACGCGTGGAATGCTTTTCGTACCTTGCCCTCAGTCAGGAGGATTATAGGAACGCATCGGCGGCTCCTGGAGTCCTCCCTGCCGTACCATGTCTAAAAAAGGAACACGCTGCAACTCGGACACCAAGTGTGATGTATTCGACTTGTTGAAACTAACCTAATGAGTCCAAATACGAAAGGTTTACTAGTAACCATTAAAGAGTTCTATTCTCCATCTCTTATTTCCATGATCAGATCAGCTCAAAGGAACCAAACTGTTGTATTGGCATCGGTATTGCCTTGTCAAAATTTGAAAACGGTATTACAATAAGAGGTTAGTTAAATTCGATTTTCTTCGATTTCAGTAAGAAGAAATTACATTTAATAATAATAATTATAAATATATCGAGTTTTCTCATATTTGTAAGTGTTGTTTTCTAGTTATTCCATCTAGTTACATGTTAATTTACTCAATAGTAATAACATCAATGGAAAGCCAAAAACTAACTACTAACGAATTTTATCATCAAAAGCCCGCCGAAAGAAAAAAAAATGAAATCATAGAACATTACATTGCGATTTCTTTGTAAATTAAACAAAGAGGCATCCGGGTACAAGTAACACAGAGTTACATAATTTAAGTGTTAATCAATCACAGTGTAAACCACATTGAAGACTCTACTCGGGGGTTGTGCAGTCCATGGCCCTTTATGGGGCCCCAGTATGGGCGCAAGGAGGCGCGGGAGCTGGGACGGAGTCCCGAGTCTCGAGAAATTGAGGATCAGAAATCCCAGCTTCGCCAGGTCCTCGTGGAGGAGTAGAACGAACAATATGGGGTTAGATGCTAGGCAATTTACCTGTCATCATTTTTGAAGCTACCTACCTATTTTATTAATTATTTTCCATTCATGGGTAGTCACAGCATTAGTTGACGCTATAAGCCGTCATAGCCCTCAGGGTGTAACTTTATTGGCACGCCGTTATCGCGGCGGTAAGACCCGCTGACCCAGGTGATCACCACGAACGGATGCTTCGGAGATCACCTGTATCTGATCCGCAAGGAGCCAACGCCTGAGTGCCACTACTGCGATGGCAGAACCATGGACACGGCGTTCCACATGCTGGCATAATGCCCGGCGTTTGTGGAGCAAGGGCATAGCCTCGTGGTAGCCGTCGGAGTGGGAATTCTCTCCCTCGGTAACATGATTGCTGCGAGTGCTTGGAACTCCG